GGCTCAGTCATCCACTGGGGACTTCTGTGAAGACCTGGAAAGCCTTAAAACATGAAGGTAAAATCATGACTCTCATGCAGACAGAAAAATGGGCACATGTTAAAGATTGTATTTAATTCAAGAGGAAACTGGCAGATACTTTAACATGTTCAAAAGAGAATCTGAGGGCCAGAGGTGGTGGTTCAAGCCTGTAATCCCAGCACTTTGGGAGGCTGATGGGGGTGAATCCCTTGAAGTCATGAGTTCGAGACCACCCTGGCCAACATGGTGAAACCCCATATCTACTAAAAATATAAAAATGACTTGGTGTGGTGGTATGAACCTATAATCCCAGCTACTTGGGAGGCGGAGGCAGGAGAATTCCTTGAACTAGTAACCCATGATGTCACCACTTAACTCCAACATGGGCCATAGAGTGAGACCCTGTCTCAAAAGAAAAAAGAAAACAAAGAGAGAAAGAGAGAATCGCAGAAACAGACATATTTGCACATCAGGAATACCGAAATGATTATATAAATAAAGAAATTCTGTGAAAACTAGATTTTCTCTGGTGGGGATTGGGGTTAGTCAACCAACTTCCACCAGACAGAACATGACCTTCATCAATTCTCTACAGTTTTTAAAGTGATATAAAATACCTCAAAGATAATGAACAAGATTGAACTCAAATAACAAGGGCTTCCACATGTGCTTCATTTTCTGTGAAAATGCAGTTTTCTTTTTCTGCTTGCACCTCATTTACTTTAGGAAGTAGAGTTCTGGGTAATTTTTTTCTTCTTTCTTTTTTTCTTGAGGTGGAGTTTCACTCTTGTTGTCCAGGCTGGAGTGCAATGGTGTGATCTCGGCTCACTGCAACCTCCACCTTCCGGGTGCAAGAGATTCTCCTGCCTCAGCCTCCCGAGTAGCTGGGATTACAGGCACCTGCCACCACGCCTGGCTAATTTTTGTATTTTTAGTAGAGACGGGGTTGCACCATTTTGGCCACACTGGTCTCAAACTCCTGACCTCAGGTGGTCCACCCGCCTCAGCCACCCAAAGTGCTGGGATTACAGGTGTGAGCCACTGCGTCTAGCCAGGAATACTCTTTAAAAAGGAGACCAGAAAAGGTCAATTTCCCTTTTGGCAAATAAGACAAATTTCATCTTTTTTTTAAAGTAGAAAATCCATACAGTGAGGGCCAGGCACGGTGGCTCACATCTGTAGTTTCACTGCTTTGGGAGACCAAGGCAGGCAGATTGCTCGAGCCCAGAAGTTCAAGACCACCCTGAGTAACATGGCGAAACCCCATCTCCACTACAAATCTAAAAATTAGCTGGGCATGACGGTGTGTGCTTATTGTCCCAGCTACTCTGGAGGCGGAGGCACGAGAATCGCTTGCACATGGGAGCCAGAAGTACAGTGAGCCGAGATGGCGCCACTGCACTCCAGCCTGGGCAACAGAGAGAGACAAATAAGACAAATTTAATTTCTGGGAAGAAGGCAGGGAGGGAGGGAGGAAGGGAGGGAGGGAGGGAGGGAAAGCGAAAAAACAAAGGAAGGAAATCCACTCAGTGCAAATAGCAATAACCAAGAAGTTGGTAAAAGTAAACAAATATGTTTCTACATATAATATTGCCGGCTGGGCACAGTGGCTCAAGCCTGTAATCCCAACACTTTGGAAGGCTCAGGCTAGCGGATACCCTGGGGTCAGGAGAAGGAGACCATCCTGGCCAACATGGTGAAATCCCAAAAATACAAAACAATTAGCCAGATGTGCTGGCAAATACCCGTAATCCCAGCTACTCGGGAGGCTGAGGCAGGAGAAACGCTTGAACATGGGAGGTGGAGGTTGCAGTGAGATGGCACCATTGCACTCCAGCCTTGGAGGTGGAGGCTGCAGTGAGCTATGATCTCACCACTGCACTCCAGCTTGGGGGACAGGGCAAGTCTTTGTACTCCCAAAATAAAAGAAATAGAATGCATTTATATTTTGCCAAAATCCTGCCTTTTACAGGCATCTAATCTAATGGGACTGGGAGAAATCAGGGCAGATGTCCTAATCCCAATGTCACATTATTATAGGATATCACTTGCGTGCTGTGGGCATGCAGAGGTGGAAAGATGAGGGAAGGCAACACAGAGGCTGTGGGGTGAACTGACGTCAAGCAATGGGTGATTCCCTTCAGAACCACACGCGTGCAGGACCCCAGACAGAAAACACAGACGCAAAGTCGAGTGGCAGGTATTTGGAAGGAGTGGTGAAACCAAGCCAGGAAACACTAGGATGGCGAGCCGGTTTGGCTGCAGAGAGATTGTAGAGAGGGTGGAATTGGCACTGTGGACCTGGCCTCGATTTCAAGAGACATCAGCTAAGGTAGCTGTTCAGGTGGGCAGTGGGGGGTCGGACCTGTCCTTTGGAGAGATGTTCAGGCTGCACTAGGAAGCCCCCTGGCTTGGGGAGAGGCTCCAGGAGGCCCCAGCAGGGAGCATTTGGCAGTGGATTCGAGTGGTGCAATGGAGACCTGAATTATTATTTATTTGGAGACTCTGCCTCTAAATGAATAAACAAATAAAGCAGGCGGGATAATGGGCACAATATATTTTACCGTAAAAATGCACTCTCAAAGAATACATGAATGACAGATCCATTATGCCATTCTTACAAGCCCAAAAGGATTTTTAAAAGAAAATGATGATGTAAAATACTATGAACAAACACACTTGAAAGGTACGTCCTCTTAAAGATAGGTAAAAATTAAACCCCACATAATCCAGTAGTACATTTTCCCTGGGGATAAGTATAGATTTGCGTGGATACATTCACAAGGAATATCTGTGTGTCTGGCAAGTTAGGTAACCTTTCTCTGATGTCATTTTCTCGTCTGTCCTTAGACACTCAGATTCTAGGTCGTGGTTACGTAATGACTGCTGTTCACCTCTCCAGACTCAGCACCTGTCACTGCCACCTGGATGGTGTGGGAAACACCTGACCCCGCCCTGGTGCCTCCTGGAGCCAAAAGGGCATTGCCTTTCCTCCCTGCTCGTAAGCTCAGCACATTGCTGCAGGGATGCTAGGTGCTGTGGGGCAGAGTGGAACCGAGTCCAAATCATTCTGCTCACTGCACTGCAGCCAAGAAATCTAGAGACAGAGAAGTGATTTCATTTTGGAGAGCCAGCAAACCAAGAACATGATGGGGGGATGTCCTACACAGCCATCTTAAAAGACATGAATCTCAGGCAGGCAGATCATGACATTAGGAGTTCGAGAGCAGCCTGGCCAACATGGTGAAACCACGTCTCTACTAGAAATACAAAAATTAGCCATGCATGGTGGCACACGCCTGTAATCCCAGCTACTTGGGAGGCCAAGGCAGGAGAATCGTTTGAACCGGGGATGAGGAGGTTGCAGTGAGCGGAGATCATGCCACGGCGCTACTGTACTCCAGCCTGAGTAAAAGAGCAACACTTCATCTCAAAACAAACAATAAACAAACAAACAAACAAAAAACAGGCATGAATATAGAGGCCAGGTGCGGAGGCCTATAATCCCAGCATTGTGGGAGGCCAAGATGGGAGAATCATGTGAGCACATTAGTCTGAGAGCAGCCTGGGCAACATGGGGAAACCCTGCCTCTACCAAAAACAAAACAAAACAGAACTTAGCTGGGCATGGTGGCGTGCACCTGTGGTCCCAGCTACTCGGGAGGCTTAGGCAGGAGGATCACTTGAGTCTGGGAGGCAGAAGTTGCAGTGACCCTTGATCACACCACTGCCCTCTAGCCTGAGTGACAGAGCCAGAAAAAAATAAAAATAAACTTAAAGCTTCCTTTGATATTGGGGAAAGGGGAACAAGGAGAGGGCTCAGGTCAGGAGGCAACTGGTCACCACAGACAACTGGGTGTTGGCGGGAATCTGGGTTTTGGTGGGAGTCCGAGGAGGTTGCCAAACTTTTTTTTCTTCTTCTTTTTTTTGAGATGGAGTTTTGCTCTTGCCGCCAAAGGCTGGAGTGCAATGGTGGCACAATCTCGGCCCACTGCAAACTCTGCTTCCCAGGCTCAAGTGATTCTCCTCCCTCAGCCTCCCGAGTAGCTGGGATTACATGCTCCTGCCACCACACCAAGCTAATTTTTGTATTTTTACTAGAGACACAGTTTCACCATGTTGCCAGAATGGCCTCGAATTCCTGACCTCAGGTGATCCCCCCACCTCGGCCTCCAAGTGCTGGGATTTCAGGCTGGTGCTGCCTGGCGGAAGGCTGCTAAACTTCTTTATCCTTGGTCAGGTCACAAAGGTCCTCCACATCTTTAACACATCCTTGTTTTTTGTTTGGTTTTGAGACAAAGTCTCACTCTGTCACCAGACTGGAGTGCAGTGGTGGCAGGATCTCGGCTCACTGCCACCTCCACCTCACGGGTTCAAGTGATTCTCCTGCCACAGCCGCCCAAGTAGCTGTGACTACAGGCGCATGCCACCATACTCAGCTAGTTTTTGTACTTTTAGTAGAGACAAGATTTCAACATGTTGGCCTGGATGGTCTCATGATCTGCCTGCCTCATTCCCCCAGAGTGCTGGGATTACAGGCGTGAGCTGGGACAGGGAACAGAGGGATGCCAAGACCATGAAGATGCTTTTGGACAATGATCTGAGGTTGAGACAGTGGCAGGAGACACCACTGACCCCAGGACACCATTCACCCCAGGAGATCGAGACACTATTAACCCTGGATCTCCAGGAGAAGAGACCAGCCTGGCAGTTACATGTGTTTTTCTTCAAACTGGTTGCCAGGTTGGAATGACCGATGACATCAGAGATTCCAGCCTTCCTGATTGGACCGCACTCCGTGGGCGCTCGGAAACCACGGTGCACAACAGCATCTTCTCAGAGCTGTTCTCCGCTCCTAACTTCTCCCCAGCCTTGAGAAGAGATCACGCACTTTTACTAGTCCTAATAGAGTGTGGAAGGCGGCTTTGGACAGAACAGGCACCAGGTTCCGTGGGAGGGAACAGAGTTTGGGAGACATCATGGCCAGGTGTCAACCGCAGCCCCAGCTTGAGGACAGGAGCCCCCGGCTTAGCACCTCGGGGCACTCCCTCCTGGAGGGGATAGATGATGAAGTGCCAGGACCATCAGGTGAGGGGACTGGAGGAAAAAGAGATGAGGGGGGATTGGCTAAGAAGAAGGAAGGGGGCCGGGCAAGGTGGCTCACACCTATAATACCAGCATTATAGGACGATGAGGTTGGGTGGATCACCTGACGTCAGGAGTCAGAGATAAGCCTGGCCAATACGGTGAAAGTTTGTCTCTACTAAAATAAAAACATTAGCTGGGTGGTAGTGGTGCGTGCCTGTAATCCCAGCTACTTGGGAGGCTGAGGTATGAGAATCCCTGGAGCCTGGGAGGCTGAGGTTGCAGTGAGCCAAGATCGGGCCCATGCACTGCAGTCTGAGGGAAAGACTGAGACCCTGTTTCAAAAAAAAGGAAGGGCCCACAAGCCAGGAAGAAGCTCCTGAGGAGGGTGTGTGGGAAGAAAGTGGGGACTCAGGCCGGGTGCAGTGGCTCACACCTGTAATCCCAGCACACTGGGAGGCTGAGGCAGGCGGATCACTTAAAAACTGGAGTTTGAGACAGCCTGGCCAACATATTGAAACCCCATTTCTACAAAAAGTACAAAAATGACAAGGGCTTTATGGCGGGCACCTGTAAGCCGAGCTACTTGGGAGGCTGAGGCAGGAGAATCACTGAACCCAGGAGATGAAGGTTGCACTACACTCCAGCTTGAGTCACAAAGCAAGACTCTGTCTTAAAAAAAAAAAAAAAAAAAGGACTCAGAGAGCCAGGTACCAGAAAAGGAAATGAGGAAGCGTTCTGAGGACAGACAGGTGGAAGAATGTGGAGGGGAAGGAGAGGCACATGGGGTTCATCTAGGGAGAAGCCAACAGCCTTCGGGGCTGGGGAGGATGGAGAGTGCTTTGGGGTTTTGGGTCAGGGTCTAAGGTGATGAACTGCAGAAGCATTAATTACACGGTGGTCTGCTTTCTTTACTCAGTCCCTTGGGTAGATCCCGGCACACCGAGTAAGTTCCTTTGCTGGAACTGGAAGAGGGAGTGGTTGGGCCAATCTGAGGAGGAGCCTGAGGAGGAGACAGAGAAGGAGCGCGCCCCTGAGCCTGAGGAGACCTGGGTGCTGGACACCCTGTGTGGGCTCAAGATGAAGCTAAAGCGACAGCGAGTGTCACCCGTGCTCCCTGAGCACCCCAAGGCCTTCAACAGGCTGCTTGGTAGGACACCCGAGAGAGCTCCTCCAATCCTGTTCTTTTAAAAAAGAGGAAACTTCCCATAACCATACTTTTCCCTTGGGAAAAATATGCCCCCCAGTGGGTGAACTCTCCATGTGGGAGGACTCAGAGGATCCTCAGCATCACTCATGAGGGACACTTAGGAGGCCATAGAGGACTCGGCTAGACTTGATAAGGGTCTGTGATTGGGATAAGAAAGCTTGGTTTCGGCCAGGCGCAGTGGCTCATGCCTGAGATCCCAGCACACTGGGAGGCTGAGGCAAGAGCATCGCTTGAACTCAGGACTTGGAGGCTGCAGTGAGCTATGACTGCACCACTGCACTCCAGCCTGGGGTGACAGAGCAAAACCCTGTCTCAGAACAACAACAAAGGCCAGGGACTTTAGCTCAGGCCTGTAATCCAAGCACTTTGGGAGGCCAAGTCAGGTAGATCACCTGAGGTCAGGAGTTGGAGACCAGGCTCACCAACATGGTAGAACCTCGTCTCTACTAAACATAATAAATTAGATGGGTGTGGTGGCGCACTCCTGCAATCACAGCTACTCAGGAGGCTGAGGAAGGAGAATCACTTGAACCGGGGAGACAGAGGCTGTAAGTGAGCTGAGATTTCGCCACTGCATTCCAGCCTGGGTGACAAAATGAGACTGTCTCCAAAAAATAAATACAAATAAAATAAAGAAAAACAAAATCAAAAAATACAAAAAGCAGTTTCAGCTGTGCCCTCTGAAACTTAATGTCGCTTGCTGACTTTTCTTTATTTTTTTCTTAGAGACGGAGTCTTGCCCTATCACTCAGGCTGGAGTGTAGTGATCTTTGCTCACTACAACCTCGGCCTCCTGGGTTCAAGCGATTTTCCTGTCTCAGCTTTCTGAGTAGCTGGGATTATAGGCCAGCATCACACCATGCCAGCTAATTTTTTATATTTTTAGTAGAGACGAGGTTTCACGGTGGTAGTCAGGATGCCCTTGAACTCCTGACCTCATGATCTGCTCGCCTCCGCTTCTCAAACTACTGGGATTACAGGCGTGAGCCACTGTGCCTACCCCCTATGCTTTTCTTCAACCTGGTTGCCAGGTGGGAATAACCAGTGACATCAGAGATTCCAGTCTTCCTGACTGGACTGAAATGTTGGCGCTTGGGAGCTCAGGTGGATGACAGCATCTTCTCAGAGCTGTTCTCCACTCCCAACTGCTCCCCAGCCTTGAGAATACAGAACACACTCTGCTGGGTCCTAGTCGAGTCTGGAAGAAGGCTTTGGACAGAACAGGGACCAGGTTCCATGGGAGGGAACAGAGTTTGGGAGAGATCATGGCTAGATGTCAACCGCAACTCCAGCTTGAGGAGAGGAGCCCCCAGCCTAGCACCTTGGGGTACTGCCTCCTAGAGGTGGTGGATGATGAAGTGCCAGGACCATCAGGTGAGGGGACTGACTAAGAAGAAGGAAGGGGGCTGGGCGCAGTGGCTCACACCTGTAATCCTAGCACTTCGGGAGGCTGAGGTGGGTGGATCACCTGAGGTCAGGAGTTTGAACCCAGTATGGCCAACATGGTGGAACCCCGTCTCTACTAAAAATACAAACATGATCCTGGCAGTACTGGTGCACACCTATAATCCCAGCTACTCAGGAGGCTGAGGCAGGAGAAGCGCTTGAGCCTCAAAGGCGGAGGCTACAGTGAGCCGAGATCCTGCGACTGCTCTCCAGTCTGGGTGAGGGAGTGAGACCCTGTGTCATGGAAAAAAAAAAAAGAAGAAGAAGGAAGAACCCAGTCATCAGAAAGGAACACTTGAGGGGGATGTGGGGGAAGAAAGAAGGGACTCAGGCCAGGCACAGTGGCTCACACCTATAATCCCAGCACTTTGGGAGGCCAAGGCGGGTGGGATTACTTGAGGCCAGGAGTTTGAGACCAGCCTGGCCAACATGGTAAAACCCCATCTCTACAGAAAATACAAAAATGAGCTGGGCATTATGGTGGGCACCTGTAATCCAGGCTACTTGGGAGGGTGAAGTAGAAGAATCACTGGAACCCGAAAGATGGTCAGAGAGCCAAGTTGGCAACACTACATTCCAGCCTGAGCGACAGAGAAAGACTTGGTCTCAAAAAAAAAAAAAAAAAAAGGAGGGAGTGAGAGAGCCAGGGACTAGGGAAGGAAATGAAGCATTCTAAGGACAGACAGATGGAAGAACAGGGAGGAGAAAGAGAGGCACATGGGTTTCAGTAAGGGAGAAAGATGGCTTGCAGAAGACAACAGTCTGCGGGGCTGGGAGGATAGAGAGTGGTTTGGGATTTGGGGTCGGGGTCTCAGGTGATCAAGAACAGAAGCATTGCTTTCTTTACTTGTCTCCTTGGGTAGATCCTGGTACGCCTAATATCCTTTGCTGTAAAAGGAAGAGGGAGTGGTCGGACGAATCTGAGGAGGAGCCCGAGGAGGAGACAGAGAAGGAGTGCACCCCTGAGACTGAGGAGACCTGGGTGCTGGACGCCCTGTGTGGGCTCAAGATGAAGCTAAAGCGACAGCGAGTGTCACCCGTGCTCCCTGAGCATTACGAGGCCTTCAACACGCTGCTTGGTAGGAGGACACCCTAGAAAGCACCTCCAATTCTGTTCTTTTAAAAAAGAGGAAGCTTCCCATAACCAAACTTTCCAAACGGGAAATGCCCCCCAGTAGGTGAGCTCTCCATGTGGGAGGACTCAGAGGATCCTAAGCATCACTCATGAGGGACATTTAGGAGGCCAAAGACGATTTGACTAGACTTGATAAAGGTCAGTGATAGGGATAAGAAAGCTTGGTTTCTCAGGCCAGACATGGTGGCTCATGCCTGAGATCCCAGCATATTGGGAGGTTGAGGCAAGAACATCACTTGTACTCAGAACTTTGAGGCTGCAGTGAGCTATGACTGCACCACTGCACTCCAGCCTGGGTGACAGACCAAAACCCTGTCTCAGAAGAAAAACCAAGGCTGGGTGCAGAAACTCATGCCTGTAATCCCAGCACTTTGGGAAGCCAAGGTGGGTAGATCATCTGAGGTCAGGAGTTCGAGACCAGCCTGATTACCATGGTAAAAGCCCATCTCTACCAAAAATACAAAAATTAGACGGGCATGGTGGTGCACGCCTGTGATCCCAGCTACTCAGGAGGCTGAAAGAAGAGAATTGCTTGAACTCAGGAGGCAGGGGTTGCAAGTGAGCCGAGATCGTGCCACTGCATTCTTTCCTGAGAGACAGAGTAAGAGTTCGCCTCCAAAAAAAAATAAAAAGAAAGAAAAACTCAAAAAACAAAGCGGTTTTAGCTGTGCCATCTGAAACTTAATGTCCCTTGCTGACTTTTCTCATTCATTCATTCACTAATTCATTCGAGATGGAGTCTACCTCTATCATCCAGGCTGGAGTGCAATGGCGCAATCTCGGCTCAATGCAACCTCTGCCTCCCAGGTTGAAGTGATTCTCCTGCCTCAACCTCTCGAATAGCTAGGATTAGAGGCCAGCACCACCACGCCTAGCTAATTTTTTGTATTTTTTAGTAGAGATGAGGTTTCACCATGTTAGCCAGGATGGTCTCCAACTCCTGACCTCATGATCTGCCTGCCTCGGCTTCCCGAAGTGCTGGGATGACAGGTGTGAGCCACCGTGCCTCACCTCTATGTTTTTCTTCAAACTGTTTGCCAGGTTGGAATGACCAAAGACATCTGCAATTCCAGCCTTCCTGATTGGAAGGACCAAACTCTGTGGGCGCTCGGGAGCTCAGTTGGACAACAGCATCTTCTCAGAGCTGTTCTCCACGCCCAACTTCTCCCCAGCCTTGAGACTAGAAAATGCACTCCTCTGGGTCCTAGTAGAGTGTAGATGAAGGCTTTAGGCAGAACAGGGACCAGGTTTCATGGCAGGGAAGAGTTTGGGAGAGATCATGGCTGGCTATCAACCTCAGCCCCAGGTTGAGGAGAGGAGCCCCCAGCCTAGCACCTCGGGGTACTCCTCCAGGAGGTGGTGGATGATGAAGTACTGGGACCATCAGGCGAGGGGACTGGAGGAAGACGAGATGAGAGAGGATTGACTAAGAAGGAGGAAGTGGGCCAGGCACGGTGGCTGACACCTGTAATTCCAGCACTTTGGGAGGTCCTGGCGGGGGGGGGTCACCTGAGGTCAAGAGTTTTAGATGAGCCAGCCAAAATGGTGAAACCCCATCTCTACTATAGATACAAAAATTACCAAGGCAGTAGTGGTGCATGCCTGTAATCCTAGCTACTTAGAAGGCTGAGGCAGGACAATCTCTTGAGCCTGGGAGGCGGAGATTACGGTGAGCTCAGATAGAGGCACTGCACTCCAGTGTGGTTGAGAGAGTGAGACC